CTCTCTCTGGTTAGTACTAAACTGGGTGGAGAGATGTTTAGCAAGAAGGCCGTAAAGTTCTTGACTCCTCTTGATCTGTACCCTGCCGTGTCTGCCTTGCAAGTATCCATTCCCCTGGTAACTAAAAAACCATCTGAATGGAGGAAGAAATAACATCAGAGCCAGAAAATCTTCAGCTCATACCCAGCAGGCTGCTCCTCTGCCAGGGTAGGATCTTGCTGTCATGTTCCTTTTTCCATCGTTTGTTTTTAATTTAGTTCTCAACAGCTCATGCAGTAATCTCCCACCTTCCATTTGGTCACTGATATTTTCAGCCTATCCCCTTGTCCTCACGAGTTATTGCTTACTGAAGCCGGACAGATTTAGCTCTTCTAATCTTTCCTGGTGAGTCAGTGCCTCTGGCTCCTGAACTCCGGTGTCTCTCACATTTATGTGCTCTTTTTACCTCTCTTTTGTTAAGGTGTTCCTGGAAAAAGGAGACACAGAGTTGAATGTGTAAAGATGTCTCTAATGGTGGGTTTAAGGGGCTTTCTCTGGGGATTAGGAAGCACAGACCTTAGTGAGACATGGTGATGCTTTCACTGGTATTTTCCCAGGTCCTTGCAATCTGTAGGTCAGGATTTCTGGACCGTTCATACTGTTGTACTAGACACAGTGGAGCTGCTGTCTATGAAATTGTCTGATCTCTCCACTGCCTTTTATTTGTTTTAGTTCCACAGTATTCAGTGGTAATAAATTATATAGTTTACTTGTGCTTTATATTAAAAAGCACTTTTTTTTAAGCCTGCTGTTGGAATTTCATTGGGTATCCCCAATTTGTTTGTTGTTACAAACATGGAATAATCATTTCCTGTAAAGATATTAATGGCATGAAAAGATAAAAACATGTCTATCCCTGCCCTTCCTGTATTTGAAGGCTCCTAGCCTCCCCTCATAGGGAACTGTTAATGTTTTTACTGTCAGTGATTTGGAATAAGATCAGGCCTGATGCACGTCTTGGCAGAACCCTACTTCCTGGTTCTTCACCAATAAGTAGTATTTGACCTCTGCTAGTTCTTAGCTTTTATAATATAGACCTAAAACCAGCATCATATGATGTCAGTAAGAATGTCTTGTGATAACAAGTTTCATGTTTTACGAAAGTCTGCTTATTAAATCTTTACTATTACTTTATCAGCCAAGTTTGGAGTCTTGTCAAAGAATGAGAGAGAGATGTGTTTGTTTTTTGAGAGACCTAATTTTCTTAAAATTCAGCTGTTTGGCATGAGTGCTATTTCTGTGTGCCTGGTAAGAGGCATGCATGTTCTTCAGTTACTTTTCTGGAATTGGTGCTGGGAAGAGGAGCTGATAGTTACAGGCATCATCATGTGTAATGTTAGTTTAACAGGACAATGTAAATGCTATTTCAGGGTATCAAGATTCCAGAATTTTATAAATGCTCTCTAAGCATATCAGAGATCTCAGCCAGTTGTTAGAACTCTTGGGTACAAGTTATCCAGTCCTTTTGACTTTTAAAATGGTTATTCCTTATTGATGATACTAGATGGATTCTTCAGCTGCAGTTGGAGTGAAGTGTGATTCATCACCTTCATGTGATGCGTGTACATCATCATGCTTCTGTCCAAATACAAATCAGAAGTATTTATCGCATGTTTGCATTTTCTGTGACATTGTTGACAATCCAGTCTCATTTGAAGTTTCAAGTGATGTAAATGCAGGGATTAGACACTATTTGCCTTCAGATGTATAACAAGTTGTAAAAAGATGCCTGTGCATGCAGGAACTTGCTGCCTTCTGGAAATAAAGCCCTTAAACCCCCACTCCCCTGAGTATGTCTAGTGGAACAACTTGGTCTTTCAGCAGGTTCTGAAGTACAACAGCTCCATGCTTTGGCAGTTGAATCCTGTGAATGTCTAGTTTGCTACCTCTGTGTCTGCTGTGCCCCTACCAAGAGCAGGTTGCAAAAATCCTCAGCTAGCCATTGGAAGGCACAGCATTGAATACTGTTTCAAATCTGTTGGGCAATACTCAGCCAGATATCCCTGGCTGCAACTGAAAAGTAAGCCTGTCCATGTGTGCAACATTTCTTGTTTCTCCAAAATGGTATATGTTTACTCACCGCAAGTCAGAAAATCTCACAGGATCAAATGAATCTGTTAAAAGATAGCTATATTAAAAATGTATGAAAAAAATAGGTTGAGATGGAATCAGTCCTTGTTTGAGAGTGTTCCCCGGAGATTTAGAGGCAGAAACACAAATGGGACTGAGGGGGATAGAGGAGAGGGGAGGGAGGTATAACTGCTTCTGTTGGCTTGTGCTTTGGTGCCATCGATGATAAATGGGTTTCCCCCTAGTCTCCAGTGGGAGTTCAGGGAGATGACAAGTTTAGGCTGAAGTGGCAGCTTTTTCATTTTTCCCCACTTTTCTCCCTCCCCAGTAGCACTTTTCTATGGAGGGCATGGATGCTTGTCTGTCTGGGAGGAATTAGGAATAAACTCTGGATATGTTGCCCACTTGATGAAGGTTTGCCCTTTCTGCAAAGGAAGGAGCCAGAATCAGTTGAGCAGCATGTTTCTAGGTGGGGAATATCACAGATCAGTTGTTAGGTCTGAGATGAGCTATTGCTGGGCAGTGGGTGGATCCCTGCTTCTAGGGGGAAAAAAAAATGCAAGAAGAGGGAAATACCCAGGAAAGTCACTGGCAAGAGTGATTGCAGGTGTGGAAGCTGTGCTGTCGCTGCTGTTAGGGCAGCTGTTTGCTGTGCTTCCAGAGTATCCGTCTAGACATCATGGAAGTTAAGGCAGGTCTGAAGCAGCCTTAGGACAAGTACGCTTTTGGGAAGAAATAACTTACTGGTTTAATGTGAAAAGCAGTGTCTGAGCTGTAATGTGAAATATTGAATATGAAACTGAAAGGCCACTATAGGCTACTGGATCCAGTTCCTTCTTTCTCAGTTTCATATTCATGTCAATTATTCTTTTCACAGACTTCACACAAACTTTCTTACCACACTGTTTTTATGGGACAACTGATTTGCTTTGGGAGTTTGAAATCTTCTTTCCAGCCTAAATGTACTTCTGTCCAATTCAAGCCCATTTGCTGTTGTTCCAGCAGTGTCTTTAAGTTTAATTAGGTCTGGTTCCTCCTTGGTGTTTTGGTTTTTCAGTGTATGTTGATAGACATAAGTTCTTAACCCTCAGTCCAGTTGACTTTTCTGGCAGATTTCCCCATATTTTCAGTCTGGTGTCTATGAATTTGTGAAATACATGGGTTTCGTTGTTTATCTTTCAGTTAGTTTACACAATGAACTTACTGTGCAACTGAAAGTGACTTTCTGTAATCAGTGACATTGTACATTCCTCATTCATTGTCAAAAATAGCAGTCTGGTCCTATTGATTCAGACACTGAGCAAAACCATCAGCTATCTTACTTGGAAATACCTGGATCCTGCCTAGTTCTTGTCTGGAGACCTAGTTTCCATTGCCTTTAGAAGTTTTTGTGCTAAATATAGATATAAGTCTTTAAAGCATTACTAAAATCCAGTGAAGATGGAAGAAAAAAAAGTGGTATTTGTAGTTAGATCCTAACAGACTTCTTCATGCAAGAAGCATTAGTCTAATCTATAACTGGTTTTAAAGTGTGCTATCAATGACATGCAATGCTATCTCATCAATACCACATTTCTCTGTCTCACCTGAATAATCCTTGTCTTTCAATACTTGGATTTTACTCAGTCTCTAGGTCTTGCACCAGAGACAATGTACTTCTGGTCTGTCTAGAATCAGGGATTTCCTTGTGAAGATGCCAGCAGCTTTTGCTATGCTGTTGTCTGGGCACCAAAGGAAATGGCAAGGAACCTCATTTTAGTTCTGCATTTCATGTGGTGGTTTTTTGGTTTTGTTTTAAACTTAGCAGAATGTGAAGCCCCATAGGCTGTTGCTTCTGTCATTGTAGAAAGTGAAGGGAGGGGTTAAGGAAAGTGAGTCTCCTGCTTCTCTTGCTGCCCACACTGTGGCCCAACCTAGGCCAAGCGGACCTGATGTTGAAGCTAGACACCTCTGCAGCAGCCGCTCTCTGTTCGGGACTTTGTTTCCAGATAAGTGACATCTGGAGGACAGCAAATTTGGTTCTCTCCAGGAGTCTATGTACATTTCTGTCACTTACCTCTCCAGCTCCTTGGTCCTTGGCCCTGACAGATCCCCGAGAGAGTCCTATCTATCCCATTCCTTTCCCTGTATGCTACCACATGCTCCCTGTCTTCCTTCTCATGACTGGGGCAACGTGAACAGTTTATGCTGGTGTCCTGAATATAAGCAATTTCAGTTCAAGTTTGACCAAGTTTTGCTATTGGAAGTGGGCATAATTTCATATGTAGAGGTGGGAGGTAGGAAGGAGAGATGAGGCTTCTGGATTGCACAGCTACAGTCCTGGGCCTGCCTGTGCAGTGGGGAGAAGAGGAAGGAGTCAGCTGGACAAAGCAGATGGCTTTTCTGGAATCACGCATTGATTTCCATCAATAGAGCAAAGTCAAGTATCTGTCCAGAGGTGCCATTCTTGTTAGTGCACACTATGTTGGGCTGACCCTTAATCTCCCACTAGTTGTATGGAATTACACTCCAAAGGGAGCCATGTGGTAGAGCTGGGCTGTGATGTGAACACTACCCCTGCTTCTTTATCCAGTTCCATCCCACTGCTGCTCAGTTTACTTTGTGGTGGACATCTCGTTCCGATGTGCTCATTACAGGCAAACTGACTCTTGGTCTTGAGATATGGTTCAGGACTCAACTGTGAAAAATGATTTGTTTGTTTAAATATGTTGTGACTTTGGTGCCTTTGAGGCATGGATACTGCAGCTTACACAAATACATGAGCAGATGCATGCAGATAAAGTTTATACTCTTGTGCTTATTCTTTAAGTTGTTGTCCCTTTCTCTTCAAGATGCTTTGGGCATTTTCCCGGTCTGTACTGACCTGTAACCTGTGTCCATTCTACTTCCAGTTGACACTGACTATCGTGCGGCAGACGGGGGGGCTGGGCATCAGCATCGCAGGGGGCAAGGGCTCCACCCCCTATAAGGGTGATGATGAGGTAAGACCCTGGACTGTGTAATTATTGAAGCACCCACTTTCAGGGACTAGTTCTCCGTAGGTGGAGGTTGGATGTCCATATGTATCGGCTTTGTGGCTGGGCTGGGCTTGGCTTTCAGAGCAAGGTGGGAGCAGCCCTCAGCCCACCCCGAAGCAGGAGGCTGGCGGGGGCTGAGCAGGCTCTTGCCTCTGGAACACTTGTTGTACCTTCCTGCTACTGACCGCAGAGAGCAGCAATGAGAACGGTTGTTCCTTTCCCATCTGTGTCCTGATGTACAGGACTTGCAAGGCAAAGAGTATGGAGTTGTCTTCCACACCTGTGGTGGCATCAGCTGTCACGTTCTTGTCCCACTGGAAAATTATTAAAGTGTCATTCCTTTTCCCCCTTGTCACCTGCAATGGTATTTCCTTCCCCTTTCTACCAACTCCTGAATGGGGTGATGTGGCTGTCCTGTCCCCACATCCAGGGTACGAGCCTGGTGAGGGATTTCCCCTTTCCCTTAAGTTGAACACGGTGGAGTGGTCTCTCTATACTTTAGGGGGTTGAGGAATGGGCTCCACCTCTTCTAACAAGTAGTTTTGTTTCCAGGGCATCTTTATTTCCCGCGTGTCAGAAGAGGGTCCTGCAGCTCGTGCAGGGGTTCGTGTTGGGGACAAGCTTCTGGAGGTAAGAACCTAAATACTGTGAAGAAGTAAATGCTTCTAATGTGAGTGGAGGGAGGAGTATGGTTTGGTATTTATTTGCATTGTGCTAGTTTGTTGGCCAAATTAAGCATCAGGAGCTGTGCAAGAGTAAAGCAAAATTCCCCTGATTCAAAGAGTTAGTTGTTTAATTAACATTACTGCTAATCTTCTGCTGCTTTATAAGGACAGAAATTGCTCCTGCATTCACTCTCCCCCAACTCTGAAGTGTTGTGTAAACCAGGTGGGAAGAAGTACTCAGCAGTGTGAGTGCCCACGTCCTCAACAGGCTGACCAGCCGGCCTCTACACAGCTGCTTTCCTGTGTGGGGCAAAAGCAGACCTTGTAGGATAACTTCTTAACCAGGGAGCCAGCCATATGCCATACTTGCCTGTCTTCAAATTATTTAAAAACATTATTAATCATACAGGATTGAGATGCATTAGGGAGGGAATAGATGTCACTATAGTGCTGGACAGAGATCAGAGGAATAATGCTCTGTATTTGGGGCACTGGCCTGTGTTTTTGCCATCTAGTGTGGTGTCTCTAGGTATCCTATGCACTCCTACTCACTGCAGCCTACATATTAGCAGGAGAGGCCTGGGCATTTGCCTGAGTAGATGTTCCAGTCTTTCCCACCACTTACGTAGCAATGACCGTGGTCGAAGTCAAAGTGCTATGTGGTTCTGTAATTAGAAATTTTTATATTGCTTCATGAGAAAAGCTTGAGTCTGGCATTTCAGAAGTTACCATGTTCACTTCTGCAGTTATCATAGGTTTGTCTTGATAATTCCATGAAGTTCAAGTCCAAAAAGAAATAAGTACTTCATCTAGCCTGGTCTCTTGTATGTTTTAGGGCCTTAAGTGCCACCAAGCATCCTTGTGCTGCATGCATCATACTGCATTTTGCTGCAGAATGACTTCCAAAAGGGAGTCAGATCCTGAAGATTTTGAGATGAATGATTATTCCCTTTCCCAACAGTTAAATTCATGGCACCCTCCCATTTCATTTAAAGTAGATCCCTCTTCAGTTACAGCTTTGGGAAAAGACTATTTTTTTTCAGTTCTGATTGACTTCCCATGATTCCCATTCATCTATGCCTCCTGCAAAAGTGGATGTACCCTCACAATATAACTCAGAGATTTGTCATATTCTTTCTAAAAGACTGTTACATGGCTGAGGCACATCAGACTTGGGTTCTGTTCTCATTGTCTATGAATTGTAAGGAATACCTCTTTACGCCTAGACTAGGGATACAGAGCGTTGCTCAGTAATGAATGCTATGATGGGAAGAAAGCCTAAATGCCATGAACTGGAGGAAATAGATTTGAACATCTAGTTTTCAGGCTGAGTGCCAGACAATCTTTCCTGTAAGTGTGTGTTAAAATGAAGTGAGGTAGCTGCTATGAAAAGAAGATTCTTCAGCTTCACGGGCCCCTGCTTTGCATTTCCTCAGTCTTGTGATGTGGTAGGACTTTTTTTTTTTTCTGAAATCAGGGAAGCAAGAGTGTCAGGAATCAGGTTGCTTCCCTGAGAGCTGCAGAACCTGCAAGTACTTTAGTAGTTTTGAATGGAGGGGAAGGAAGTGGGTGTTTCAGGGTAGGAGGAGGTAGATGTCCTTCTAAAGGTGAACAAGAAGTTGTGTCCACCTGAGTTGTACTGAGATTTGTTGGGGGAGATAGTTCTGTGTGAGTGGTTATCTGTCTGGGAGTTTGTTGCCTGTGGGGATGATACAGGTGATATGGAGGTTGGAGCTCCCTGTGGGGGCAGAGTTTCTCTGAAAGGGCCTTTACTGTGCTTGGCAAGGGCTGCCCTGGTCTCAGACAGGCGGCACGTGTTGTGGGAGCCTCCTGTGCTGCTGTGCGAGTGCAGAGAAACTCCCTTGCGGGCAGCAGGTGAGGTCTGGGTACCCCTGTGGGAACAAGGTGTCGACCCAGCTCTGCAAGGGATGAGCTGTGCTTTTGCTGGGCAGCAGTTGCTAAGGCTGGAGTTGTCTGTGCAGCTGTTGGAAGAACTCCCCACGGAGGTAAGGGTTGTGCCCGATTCTGTCTGTCCCCAGGTGAACGGTGTGTCCCTGCACTGTGCTGAGCATCACGTGGCGGTGGAAGCTCTGCGTGGATCAGGAAGCTCCGTCTCCATGACAGTTCTGCGGGAGCGGATGGTGGAGCCGGAGAACGCCATCACCGTCACACCGCTGCGCCCTGAGGATGACTACAGCCCTCGTGAGAGGCGAGGTGGTCTGCGCTTCCCAGAGCGACCCGAGGGGGCACCTCCCACAGAGAGATATTCCACCTGCCTCATGCGCAATGAGAAGGGCCTGGGCTTCAGCATTGCTGGTGGCAAAGGCTCCACACCCTACCGGGCTGGTGACACGGTCAGTAATGATTCCCTGGGAAGGAAGGTGCTTGATTCCCGAGTCTTGGCACTACTTGTGGGAGCAGCATGGGGTCTTCCTCACCCATGGGCACGCAGCAGGGCAGCATGGCCCTGAGCTGGTGGGCCAGGCAGGCTCTGAGAGCCAGAATCTACTCTTAAGTCAGGGAAGGAGAGAAGTTTATAAGGAGGTGGGGCTGGGGCTTACAGTCCGTGTCAGTGACATTTAATCTTGCTGCTGTCCTCTTGACATGTATTCTGGGCTCTCGGCCACATGGAGGCTTTGCGGCAGCTGGAGGTTTTACTAGTGACTCTAGAAGCAGAAAGAGGGTTTGTGTGGAGTGAGGAACAAGTGGGAAGTGCCAGGGCAGGGCAGGGGCCTGCGAAAGGTAAAGGGCTGAGACCAGGCCTGGTATCCAGGAACGATTTCGGAAAGCCAAGCCCTGGCGAGGCTGCTCTGACCCTTCTGACTGTGTTTCAGGGGATCTTCATCTCACGGATTGCAGAGGGTGGTGCAGCCCATCGGGACGGGATCCTGCATGTAGGAGATCGGGTCATCTCGGTGAGTATGTGCGTGCAGGAAGGGGTCTGACTCAGCTCCCTGCCCTTCCTCATACAGGGGCTGTTTTTCTGTCACTGAAGCTGGATTTTGGGGGTCCTTTTATCAGCTCCTGAGCCTTCTGGGAGAGCATTTAGTCTTGGTGGTTCTACCCCTGCCTCTGACTGGTGGTGGGTGCAGTTAATGCCTCCCCTTTTCCCAAGCGTTGCGTGTGAGCGCTTCCCTACAGGAACAGCATGTGGCAGTCCAGGCTGTACTGGAGAGACACGATACAACAGCACTGCCCTAGCCTGGTGTCCCTCCAGAGCCTTGTAGCACAGCCTCGGAGGGCTCTGCTGTAGCACAGCATGTGGGGAGGGAAGGCCTTCGGGGCACAGCTGACCGGCTCCCCGCAGAGAGCGGGGTGGCAGGGATCAGTGAAGCGGAGGGAGGCTGCCTGAGGGTGGTGTGGAGCGGGGCAGGGTGTACCGCAGTGCTTCCCCCTGCTTTCATTTGAAACTCCAGCCCCAGTTTCCCTTCCTGTTTGTGCCAGTAGTATGGATCTCACTGCTGCCTCTAACCTCAAGTGTCTCTGCCTAATGTGTCACTTGCTTCCCCTCCTGTGGGGAGAGTCTGCTGAGTCTCCTGACCCTCTTCCTAAGCTCGCATGCTGCCTCCGAGTGAAAGCTCCTGCATCCTGGTGCTGGTGGTGGGTTTCTGATCCAGCTGTTGTGGTAAGAGCACGTGTTACCACAGAGCTGGTGTGAGTAAACACTGATACAGCCTTGTCAGTGCTGGCTTCTGTCTGCTCTATCCCTAGGCTGGGGGCTGTGTTGTATTTGCTCTGGCACAAAATTTTAGTGGAGCTCTGGCCCAGGTCTGACATTCGTATCTTGGCAGGAGACTTGAACTGGTACGGCATCTCTCCTTGCTAATGCTCCCCCCTCCTCCCAAAATCAAACCCTTACCCTGATTGTTGCTAGATAGCCTAAATTATTTTGGTTTTGCTCATCTTTTGATGCTCCACTGGTACAGAGGCATGACTGAGAGGTGCAATTGCAGGCACACAGCCTATCATATGGTGTTGATTTGCTCTACCTGTGGCAAGAACGAAACATAAGATCTCAGAATAGAGTCAAAAGTCAAACCTGTCTCCATCCCCCATTAGCAGCTCTATTTATATCTGTGGGCAGCTTCATAGGAAAATCAGATCTAATTCCCTAGTAGTAGCTTGCAGTGTCTTCAGACTGCAGTGTATGGGCTCAGGGCTTACAGAACTCAGGGCCTTTGTTAGGTTTTAATGTGGATGAAGGCTGTGCTGTCATTAGTCCTCTGACACACCCCGCTGCAATGATGAGTGCAGTATTATTGCATAGGTAGGAAATATGTCTATGCTTGAGACCATGGTCCTCTCCTCTCAAGGATGTTACCTGTGCTGAAGTGTGTAGTCATAAAAGGTTTGGTGCTGAGCATCAGCTGCAGCTCAAATCTGTGCTCAGTTATAATGAAAACAGGAACAAATTATTATCTCCTGGGGGAACACTTACCTAGTCTGGTATTCACATAACTTCCATGCCTTCCAGCAAGTGTCTGACTCACTTCTCCAGCAGCCATGCCTCCTGGTAGCAGTTGCCATTTTGCCTTTCCTACTTGTGGGGTTCACTGCTAAGTGTGATATCCACATAGTGGTAGTGTTACATCCTGAGGCCTCTCATATCTTCTTGGTGATATTTGTACTCAAGAATATCTGCTTGCTGTAAGAGATGCATGAGCAGCTGTGTGAGTTTCACTCTGTCTCTAGTGAAATCTGGTGCCAGCTTAGAGCTGTGGGGCTGCCCTGGTCCAATGATGCTGGACGCTGGGAGAGTATCTGTTCACTTCAAAGCAATGCCCGCATAGCATCCTGTAAATTCCCTCTTTACCATGACCCTCTTGAAGCAGTGATTGCCCATTTTTATTGGAAAGCTTTTCAGGATGTGGTGATTCCTGGGATGTGTAGTGCCAGTTGCCTGTGTTCCCCTGTATCTGCGTGGGGAAAGCAGGAGGGCCCTCATTAGGATACAGGTAGTTTCATAGGTCCAGCAGGCAGAGGCCCATTTCCAAAGCCATAGTCATGCCTCAGTTCTCACTTCGCCAAAGAATTTTTGTTTTCTTAGGAAAAGAAATACAGCACAGCTTCATACTCTTCCCCTGTGCTCTAAATCGTCCTGGACTTCTCTGCAGGGGAAGGACTGGGATAGCTCCTTTTACTTTCTTAAGGGAGCTTTGAGTACATGGATTGAAGAGCCCAGCCTAGATCTCCCTCCAAAGCTAACACCCCACAAAACTCACCAGTAATTGACTACTAACTCTTCAGCTTTCCCCATATTCTAGTGTCCTGAGAGTCATTTTGGTAGTGGAAGACATGGGGCAGGGAGCTCCAAGGGGGGAATGTTGGAGAGTTTGAATCGTGGGATGGGAACCTAGCAGGGAGGCTGCAGGATTCTGAGCAGTGGTTAAGGGCAGCTAGTTTTATGGGTGGGAATGGGAGTAGACTGAAGGAAACTGATTCAGTGGGAGATTTAGGACACTAGTAGCACCAGGCGACACATGGGGGTCCTACTGAGAGCAGTCTGATCACTAAGAAATTTGCCAGAATAATGTAACTCCCTGGCACACAGAAAAATGTGTGTAGCTGGGAAAGGACAGATGACACACTTTCCCTTCCTCTGGGCACTTAGTTAGTCAAACTGCACTGGCTGGCCTTGTTCTCTTGCTAAGCAGAGACATAGCAATAAAGGCAACTGAAAGCTAGCTGTCCAAAACCTGGGAAGGCATCATGATTGCCAGGTAATGGAGAAGTTAATGAGTAAAATGCCATCATGGGCTGTTATATGTGATATACTTCTGATTTGGGGAGTTCCTGTGTCCCTGTTCACTGATCCATGGAAGTGCCACTGTATACTTTCGGTCTGACCAAGTCTGACCATTCTCATCTTCTTGTCAGTGGCAGAAAAATAACAGAGGGGAATGCGTGAAGTCAAGAGTGCATGCTGCTACAGCAGGTCTGTCTGTGGAGTATGTTGGGCCTTGATCTGGTGATAAGAACCTAAAGGCCAAGTCTCTTCTGCATGTCATCTTTGTTAAAAATTGGTGTATCTGGCAGACGGGAGGACCCAAAGGCATGCTCCCTTCCCAGTCCACTGGACACAAGGCTGCTGCTTTTCCCCATTCCCAGGTCCAGTCATTAGGAAGGCTAAGTGCAGATTCCAAAGACGGAACACACAGCAGACGTGGCTGGCCACAGATTTACACAGACAAGAAGGGGGGGGAGGGGGGCAGTACCTTTACAGGCACACACATAAACACAAACAGTCCTCATAGGGCATGAACAACACAGACAACTTAATCCTGTTTCTCCCTTCTGGCTAATCAGGTTTAAGGTTTGCTAGTAGAATGTGCACTCAAATCACATAAATATTCATGTTTGCAGGTCTCTTCAGTCTCTAGCCCAAGCATCAAGTTCTTCAAGGCTCTTTGGTCAGACCCTGAGCCTTTTATCCAGTTTCTGGGCCAGCTGTTGGGTCTTCCCACATTTTGCATTCCTACTTGCTGGCTAGTCCAACTTGAATTTTACTAGTAGATCTAGCACACATACCCAGAATAGAGAGCAAACTCATACAGTAAATACAAACAGAGTTTGATAAAAAGATAGAGCAGGCTATGGTGATCAGGTACAGGGCTTGGCCAGACAAGCATACTGACCAGCAACCTGCTTGTGTGTGATCAGCCTCTTTTATTTTCCATCCTCTCCATTTTCCCATGCTTGTTCCTCCCCTTTCCTCCTTGGCCACTCCCCTTTCCCACCTGTGATCCTTCTGCTAAAAATCCCATAATAAGTTTTGCACATTCCCGCAATCCCCCTTAAAACTTCCCGTAGCAAGTTTGCTGTTTCCTGTGAGAGCTGTTCTGGTAACCCATGGTAATCTTGATTTCCTCCACATATTGATTACCAAGTTTTTGGTCACACTTCTTTAACATTACCATTTGAGTGATTCCTTTCATGATCCATCCATGAGCGTCTGGAGTCTTGTTTCTGTTATCTGTTATTAAGGTTTGGACACCTGTGTGTTTAATTTATTATCTTTCCTGCTTATTGCCTTGTCTCTTATGCTCAGCAGCCATTACCCAGGTACCTTTATATCCTTCCTCTTCCTGCATGCATGTGCAGGCTGGCATGCCTTTGCATCCTTCTGTTTGTCCTCTACAGTCGGTGCTAAAGGTGTGTCCTTGGGGACAATCCTCTGAGTAGAGGAGATGCTGTGAGGCTGAGTTTTCTGTTTATGTCCAATGCAGCATAGGGCTGTCTTGCCTGTCGTGTTACATGTTGTAAGGGGAGTAGCACACTTGACTGTGGATGGGATGGGGGGAGGTCGGGTGAGGGTGGTGGTGGTGTTTATGGAGGTTCTGGACAAAGCCTTTGTCAGACTGTATGCAGTCAGCTTTGTCCAGAAACTGCTTTCTTGGAAGGAGCTGGGGAGTAACTACAATACTTCTAGGAAGCAGACAGTGAGGAATCAGGCTACAAAATCCAGTTCCTGTGGCTGTTACAAAGTCACGTTATTATTTCATAAGCTGATCAAACTCCCATCTTGACAGCTGTTATTTTCGCATCCTCATTGTTCGTTTTGGAAAGCTTTTCCAGAACCTAAGGACTAGAAACCTTTTAATTTTCAGCTTCAACTTTTTCATGGCAAGTTTTGTCCTTTTGGCAGTGTTCTTCTAGCTTAGCTCTCCTCTCGATAGTTTGTCCCTCATGCATTCATGGAGAATAGTCACATCCTTTCTGGTCCTTTGAGTTTCTAGGCAAGCTGTTTCAAATCTTCATTTTGTAGTAAAGGCTCTCTGTTCCCCTGCCTGTTGTAGCAGCTTTTCTCTGCACATCTTGTTAACTTACGTTAGATAATTTTTTTGTGTGTGAAGGATGAGAATAGTATACAGTTTTTCAGATGAGTTCTCTTCGATGCCTTGTATGAATGACATTGCTGCTTCCCCGTATGTACTGGAAGTACCTCTTTGTCTGAAGCATTATATCTTTCACTGATATCACAAAACAACTGTAGTTGTATTCTTCAAATTATTTGGTGTAGCATATTGCATAAAGTTCTCTTGTCCAAAAGAATTCTAGTTTTCCTTTTGTGTCAGCCAGTCAGTCACTGTGGACTAGCAGAGTCTCAGTGCTTCCAAGTCTTTTTGTACCTGGGATACACTTCTTAGGGCTTAAAACTGACATCTTCCCCAGACTGCCATGACCTTGTCCAGCATGGGCGGACAGCAGCCCAGTGGCCAGTGACGGGTCCTGTCACACATCAGATCGTGCTCTTCAGTGCCCGTGTCTGGGCTTTGAGAGTGATTGATAAGGGCAAATGGCCTAGTTCAAAGGCCACTGATGCTGTGGCACACTAGTGTGTTGTGGCATTGCTTCTGGGAGTCACTGTTTTGTCGTCTTCCCACACTGAGATATTTGGACCCATTCCTTTAATGCAACCTCTTGGGCTTCTTTTGTTGTGACCTGGTAGGAAAGCTGAAATGCAAAGCCAAGAAGGAGTGACAGGTACTCTCCTGGTAACAAGTGAGCCACAGCACAGTCTGGGCAATAGCTAGGTTTGTAGTGCTCCAGGAGGTGGAGTATTGTACTTGATCTTCATGGTCCCCTGGAGCATCACTGATGCTGTTGGAGCTTGGAGGTGTACAGGGAAGGTGGGAAAAGGGCTGGTAAGCTGTCTAGAAAGAGGATTGTGGTCAGGTAGGAATGAGCAGGTGCCTGTGTCCCTTTACCAGATAGGAAGGAGTGGGGTAAGTTACAAAGTGCTTTGGGGAACAGACTTTTGAGAAGGGGCAGTGTTCCAGCAGAATGGGGTCCCTTAGGGTGCTTGGCAAAGTGCTTAAAATGACAGGGTGTACTTGGGTGATGGTCTGACACTGAGTTTGCGGGTTGTTCTAGATCAATGGGGTAGACATGACAGAAGCCAGGCATGATCAGGCAGTAGCGCTGCTTACCGCATCCTCCCCCACCATCGTGCTGCTGGTAGAGAGAGAGGGTGCAGAGCAGCTCAGCGAGGGAGACTCGCCAGGCGTGCCACGAGTGCGCATGCACTCCCCACCACCGCCTCCCAGCCATGGGGAGAGCCCACCGGAGGAGACGCCTTCGCTGCAAAGGAACCATCTATCTAAAGGCCTGGAGGATCAATATCCCATTGAGGTGAGTCTGTCTGTTGCAATATGGGATAGTGTAATCTTGGGTGGTTTTCATTTGAAAAATTGGTAGTCTGATGAGGGCTGGCCCACTGTGTTATCAGGGCATTGAGAAGTAATGGGGAACCTCCTTGTCCCGTGGGTGCTTACCTTGTGCTCACTCATGCAAAACATCCCTGACTCCATGTTTTTAAGTGTTTGTGCTTCTTTTGTGATATCCCTTATTCCCTTTGACTTTGCTTCTTCTTCCCTTAAGGAAATTCACCTTGTAAAAGCAGGTGGCCCCCTGGGACTCAGCATCGTAGGAGGCAGTGACCATTCAAGCCATCCGTTCGGGATTCACGAACCAGGTGTCTTCATTTCAAAGGTAGAGTCCTGTGTGAGCAGCGTAACAGTGGACTTTCCTGAGCTGTTTAATTATTGGGGTTAAGATGAAGGATTTTAATGCAAGAGTCTGATAAGTACAGTATAAATTTAAAAAAAGGGGGGGGGGGATGGGAGAGGGATGTGTGCATATGTAAAGAGTTAGCTTATAGAACTAGACATACTGCTGCTGTTGTAGAAATCTAAATGGCATGTAAAAGCCTACAAACCTGTATAATTCACGCTGAACTGTTTGGGGAGAGTTAGCTTTTGAAACTGCTGACCTTATGTTAGATTTTAATGAATCCTGGAAATATGCAGGAGTTTCAGAAAACCAGTCATTACTCAAAGTGTTAGTGGGATGAATGTGTAACTGCACAGAAAAACAGAAGTGCTCTTCTGCATTCAGGCCAGTGTCCTTCGACCCCACATTCTCTTTCCAGTGGTGGCATTAGCTGATGCTATTTAGAGACAGCACACAAGCTGGCCACTTGCTGCAGCTCATTCCCTTCGCAGTCCCACACATCCACACTCGTTGGATTAGGGATGTTAGAGAGGATATCCCTGCCCAGCCCCTTCTGCATCCATATGTCTCTTGTCCCTTGAACATGGTGAATCTGTCTCCTCTAAACCCATGGCTGCAAGTCCCAGAACATCATTACCTGTCACCTGAAGAAGCACTCTGATCTGCTCTGAACCAATGCCCCACTGGTTACACTGAGTGCTCCTCCATTCTTGTATTGCCCATTAGAAGTCCTGCATTCAGCTTATTCACCACCTTCAGTGTTGTAAACCTCATTCATTCTCCTTCCTCATATTTCTCTCCAAACTCAAGAGTTGTGGCCTTCATTTCTCCTTGCAAGGTGCTGCTCCATCCCCTCATTATTTTAGTTGCTTTTCTCTCTGGACCTTCTCTAACCCCACTATGTCCTTCTCAAGATGTGACATCACAGGATCATTCAAGTTGGAAGGGACCTGCGGAGGTGGTTTGACCTCACTGAAAGCACACGGCCAGCCTAGATCAGCTTGCTGAGGGTCTTGTCTAGTCAAGTTCAGAGTATCATCAGAGATGGAGATCTCACAGCCTCTCTGGGCTCCTCTTCCAATGTTTAACTACTATTATGGTGAACATTTTCTTCCGAATATCTAGTCAGAATTTTCCTTGCTCCAACTTGGATCCTGTGCCTCTTTCCCTATACCGCTGTGTACCTTTGAGAAGGGCCTGGCCTCTGTTTTCTCTGTACCGTTGTGTTAGGTAGTTGAAGACAGCAGCAACATCGCCTTTAGCTTTCTGTTCTCAAGAATGAAAAACCCCAGGTCTCCCTGCCTCTCTTTGTACAGTGTATTCTCTACACCCCTGTTCATCTTCTTGGCCCTCCGCTGCACTCATTCCAGTTTATCAGTGTCTGTCTTGTACTCCAGATGTAATGTCACAAGCACTGATTAACGGGGGATGATCACTTCCCTAAACTCACTGGTTACACCCTCCACTGTTGCAAGGGCACACTGCTGACTTAGCTGTCTTTCACAGTACACAGGATCCAAGCCTCTGGCCAGCAACAAGCCTCCTGAAACAGCAAGTTTGTTTGAGAGATGTGTGCCTCTGTCCCTTGCAGTAGTGGTTTCCAGTAGGTTTTACCTGACACTTCCTGTTGGTGCTGACATGTTGTTGTGGTTTAACCCCAGCCAGCAACTAAGCACCATGCAGCTGTTTGCTCACTTCCCTCCCACCCAGTGGGATGGGGGAGAGAATTAGGAAAAAAAAAAAAGTAAAATTCGTGAGTTGAGTTAAGAGCAGTTTAATAGGACAGAAAGAAAGAAAAAAAAAAGACAATAATAATAATAAAAGAATTAGAATATACAAAATAAGTGATGCACAATGCAATTGCTCACCACCTGCCAACCGATGCCCAGTTAGTCCCTGAGCAGTGATCCCCCCAGGCCAACTCCCCCCAGCTTGTATACTGGGCATGACATCACATGGTGTGGAACACCCCTTTGGCCGGTTTGGGTCAGCTGCCCTGGCTGTGTCCCCTCCCAACTTCTTGTGTCCCTCCAGCCTTCTTGCTGGCTGGGCACGAGAAGCTGAAAAATCCTTCACTTAATATAAGCATTACTTAGCAACAACTGAAAACATCAGTGTATTATCCACATTATTCTCATACTAAATCCAAAACACAGCCCCACACTGGGTTCTATGAAGAAAATTAACTCTATCCCAGCTGAAACCAGGACACATGTGGTTCATTCTGGGATGGCTCCAGTGCCTCCTTTTGTGTAGTTTGTCCTCATCTGCTACAAGGCACTATACCTATTTTTAGATGCATGTCAGTAGAGAGAAAGGCTCTTTGCTCTGTCGCCAGCAATCTCAAGCTCCCAGCCTTCCCCAGCTTGGGACCCTCTGCCATATGTTCAAGCATAGCTCCTAGCTGACCCTTCTTCTGTACAACGTGGGATTTGGACTCCCCTCTCTGCAGGGTTTCTGCAAAGAGCCTGTTGCTGTCCTGTTCATTTTCACTGACACTGTGCAGTATGCTCATCTCATCCTGTAGCTTCTTCACCGGCCAGCTCGGCACCTTGAGCAGAGCACACCTTCCGCTGGTGAGGCCACCACCAGCCTCAGGGAGAGGTCCCAGACACTCCTATAGCCCAAGACCCTGAAAGCTGCATCCTTCCTCTAAAGCGCATGGGATATTCCGGCTGGTGCTGGGGACCTTGCCCTGTGGCATATCACCATCATCCTTGCATGGTCCTCAGCACAGTTTCTGGGTCCCCTTCTGCTCTGCCTTTTTGTGAGCAGAGAACTGAACAGTCCTGGAGATTTGGGTGATTCTGTCTGTCTTGGTCTAAGTACCCTTTCTGATGATGCCCAAAATTTTGTTGGCTTTTTTTTGCCCCTTCCTGCATGTGGAACCCATGATTTCAGAGAACATGTGACAAAGTCTCTAGGAACTTTCCTGAGTTACTGTTTCTGAGTTCAGTGTTGTGTGTGCATGGTTTTAGGTGTTTTTCCGTAGATTCGTTGTCTGTGCTGAAGCTCATGCCATGTCCTTTTGTCCAGTTTTCTTGACCCCTTTTGAAGTTCACCACCACCAGGGTGGTATTTGGCTGCTTAGAACAGCACAGTATCATCTGCAGACCTGGAGATTTCACTGTTCACTACCTTTTCCAGGTCACAGGTGGACATGCTGAATAACACCAGTCCTGCACCAATTGCTCAGGAACCCCACCAGTGAATCTTTTGTGTCCTGAGCAGCAGCTGTCCAGACCTGCCCTTTGTTTCCTCTCCTTTAACCAGCTTTCAGTGCATTAAGATGGCCTTTCCTCCCATCCAGTGGATATGGCTTCTCTAATAGCCTTTAGGTTCAGACCTTGTCAAGGGCCATTTGGAAATCTAGAAGTTATGCCTACCAGACTCCTTCCTTTGTGTGTTCATTGTTTTTCTCAGTGCTTCAGCAGGCCAGTGAGGCAGGATTTGCTTTTACCAAAGCCAGACTAACTCATTCCCAACAAACCCTGCTTATCCACATGCTCACAGATCTTACTCTTTCTTTGTTGACTCTATTGTTTTACCAGGAATAGAAGTTAGGTTTCTTGGTTAGTAACTCTGTAGTTCTCAAGATCCCCTCCAGAGCAATTCTTGACGACTGGAGTTGTACTGACACTGTCAGTCCTGGTACAGTGGCCATTTGTAATGGTAGATGATGCACTTCTGACAATGGCTCTGCAGTTTAACATTTGAGTTCCTTCAGAGTTCTTATGAGAAAGCTGTTTTCTGGTTACAGTCACAGGCAAAATAATGGAAAAGCTGACAAAGGATTGTTACAGATGAAAATGATAATATGAGACTATAAGAACATACCGAATGACACCTTAAAGCAAATCTTACTTCATTCTTTGTCACTATTCACAGATATGTTACGTCTTGGAGAACTTTGGTTGCAGAGAGAGAAGTCAAAACAGGCCTCAGAGGATGTTGGAGGATAGCCTAGGCACACAACCAGTGTCTCTCCAAGGACAAATGGAATTTCCTTCTCTAGTTTTAACATTAGTGATTCTTTGTAGGTCATTCCCCGTGGACTGGCATCTCGCAGCGGTCTCCGTGTAGGGGACAGGATCCTGGAGGTAAATAGCATTGACCTGCGCCACGCTACCCACCAGGAAGCAGTGAATGCCCTGCTCTCCAACACTCAGGAGCTGACTATGTTAGTAAGGCGAGATCCGCCACCACCTGGTATGCAGGTAGGTTCTGAGTAAGAGAACTGGGGGAAATTGCACCTTTCTTTATAGAAGGATCACTTTTGAAGGCAATTTCTTATCTAGCTGGAAATCTGGGACTAGGGTACAACCAAACTTCTAGTTGAAATTTCCTTCTCTTTTGGTAGAATCCAGTCTCTTCTAAGTATATATCCAGTTGAGGACTGTGGAGGGTCTCTTGCCATGCCCATGGTGATAACTGTGATCAGAGAATGATCAGATTTCATGAAGACCAGACCTGAACAGGAGACAAATACAGAAAAGGGCAGAGCCTCATCAGAAGGAATAAACTGTGCCAAATGAGTGAAAGGTCTAATTCAGGTCCTTTTCAGGGTATTTAGAATATGGCCAGCTACTAGGAGTGTTTCCCTAACAATTCCAGTCTGAACTTGACCCAGAAACAAGGATACCTTTTCTGTGTTTACAGGAAATATGCATTGAAAAGGCTCCAGGAGAAAAGCTGGGCATCAGCATCCGGGGTGGAGCAAAAGGTCATGCTGGAAATCCATTCGATCCCACTGATGAAGGCATCTTCATTTCTAAGGTACCAGACCACTAACTCTGCAACTTGGTTGCATGCAAGGACTGCTAGGGAAAAGAGTGATCCCTGTGGAACTTGTTCGATATACTCTCTCCACTTTTCACTGGGTACATCAATTCTCCGGGAGTATTCTCCACCCACTGAAGGAGGCGCATCTGTTTCATGTTTCCTCCTCTAGAACAGCTACAAAATTTCTTCTTTCATTTTCTATGTTTGCTTTTATTTTGCTTTGCATTTCTTCTCTTGCCTTTTTTTCTGTGACATAAACCCATACATCTTTCCTTTTCCCCTCCGCTCCTATTGCTTCGCCAAGTGCTTGTGGCCTTCCTGCCCACCCAAACATGCATGCTCTTTCCTCCTTTGATTGAAAGCATTATGA